GGGGGGGGGGGGGGGGGGGGGGGGGGGGGGGGGGGGGGGGGGGAGGAGGCAGGATGGCACGGGGCGTGAAGACAACAGACCGTTTCACGCGTGGCGTGTCACTCGAAGCTCTGGCATGAGCCAATCATGCACGACAAGATACCTCCGCTCTCCACCCTTAAGACTCCTCGCTCGCCCTCCTGCCCCCGTTCTCTCCTTCCCCAACCAACCCTTTCTCCGGAAACAACTCTAACTTTAGGCGACATGAACGGAGACGACTTCCCGGACCTAGTCGTGGGCGCCTACGGATCCGGCACGGCCGGGGAGGCCTTCGTGGTCTTCCCGGGCCTCACCGGAACTCCGCCCCCAACCATGTCTCCCACGCCGGGGCCACCGACACCGGCGCCGGTGTCCGCCGGGCCCGGGGCCACGCCCTCGCCCACGGTCAACTTTCTGGTGGAAGGCGTCGTGGGAGCGGGGACGGTGCACGACAGTCCCGGAGTGTTCGTGCGGGCGCACGAGCTTGGTGGCCAGGTGCGGTACAGCAGTTGTCGGCAACGTATGTTGAGTGCTGGTGTTTTGCGTCTCGGGCGTTGGTGCAGTGAAGCAAGGTGCGGAGATCACAGCGACTGCTGTATTGTGTCGGCGGGCATCGAGTAGCGTCTCCCTGTCACTCGTTTTGGTGCCTTCAGGGAGCAAGGAGTTGGATAAGTATGGTCGTGCCCGTCTCTGTCTCCTCCCTTGGCCTTTCTCCTACATATCTAAGCCACGTATCGTGTTTTTTTTTCTTCTATTCCGTCTTTGATGTCGCTGGCTGTCGAGTGGTGTATGATTCCTATTCCTCGTGCCTTCTTTCGTTTTCGGGCTCATGCCGGGGAAAAATCAATGTCTAGGTGTCGCTTGGAGCAGACAGGTGGTTCGACGACGACACAAGGGTTGCCATGGCCCTGGAAGGCTTGCAAGAAAAGGTGAGGGTTCGGACGTGAACCCGTGTGGGGATGAAGTCATGAGACCTTCGACCTGAGCGCCGCTACTCAATTAAAGCGCACGTACCAAGGCAGACAGTAGCTCAGCGCCTACACTTGCTTTGCACTTCCATTGCTGTTGACGTGAAGCTAGCCACAACCGCCCTTCGATCTGCAGACCGCGGAGCTGGTCCCATGTCTTGGTTCGGGGCGTCATATACTGCCGATGTATTTTTTTGCTTGTATGTGTCATATGAGAATCACGCATGCTTGGGTGCGTCACATGACAACACGCAGAGCTCTGAGGGAGACCTCGTGGGTTTGGGCGCCGAGGTCCCCCACGTAGTGGATGGAGGCGGCCTGGTGTACGAGGCCACCGCCACGACCAACGTCACCGTCGAAGGCGTCGCCGCTCAACAGAGTACCATGACCACGTCCGCCCTGGGCGGCGAGGTGTCGATCACGGTGAGCGGGAGAAACCAGGGACAACAAGGGAGAGAAAAGAGATTTGACTCGAACGGTTGGTTGTCTGCAAGAGTGGAAACCAATCGCCGCCAACGGAGACACGGGCGTTCGCTCAACAGAAGTACGTTGTTGCCGCCCGATGTTGACCGCCGGGTCGACTCACTGCCTTTTGCCACTGCTAAACCAGATGCCTGTCCCATGTATCATGATAATCAAGATTGTCTGACTACTCTTGAATGCATTGGATGCCCACCCTCGCAATTCGTGCTTCTGCTGCCGCTGCTGCTGCTGTTGTGGCGCGCCACACGTTTCTCTCGACATTGCCATGGATCACGAATGGCATCGTCACATTCATAACGCCACCGCGCGTAAAATACTGCGAAACGGTAACAACCGACGACAACGACAACGACAACGTCACGTGGCGCGCTAACAGGTCACCATGCAAGTGTTCGAGGAGGATGGTGTCGTCACCAGTGGCGACGAGCAGACAGAAGTGAGTTGCGGTAGTGACTTCAACATTCAGTCCGGTCTAGAGTCCAAGAGCAGAGTAGTCGTGAAACTTCACTTGCACGACGTGCGGATGCGCCTGAGGAGTCATGTAGCCGTGCCGGCTATTTTTTTCTTTGTTTCAGTTTCGTCAACGTCTCAGTCTTTAGCGCGTCTCCAACTTTGTTACAACCAGCCCTCTTCCCGCCTCCAACAACCCCCTCCCCCAACAACCGGTTGGTCAATGGTCGCGCGGCAAAGAAAGCCAACAATGTCAATACTCCTCTCCCCGTACCCCAGCCAGAAAACATCAGGGGTGCTACGCAACGGCATTGTAGCCTACCGAGGGGCTTACTCAACGACCACATGCCAAAAAACACTTGTGCGCACGTCTGCCTCCCACAAAGATTTTTTCCGCTTCCGCCCTACATCCCCCAGGTGACTGCCGGGACTCTGAAAATCTCGCTAGAGGTGTCCGACTGGCCGTTCTGCGACCCATCCACGGAGCCCCGGCGCAGCACCGACGACACCCCCCTCACGGTGTGCCCGGCGGGGACGGCGTCGTCCTCGACTCTCGAAACCGGAGCGTTTCTGGACGTCAAGATTGCGGTGCTGGGCCCATCGTCGTCGACCCCAGTCCTGTCGACTCCGGCCCTGGAGGATGCGGCGAGAAACGGCGGGGTGGAGTACACCATGACCGGTGAAAGCGCGGAGGCAACACTGGCGATGTCGGAGTGGGTCAGCACCGACGACAGCGGGTGGACCAAGGTCGGTTACGACGATATGGCCTACCTGTGTACGAGGAATGCGTGTGCTAATAGTGTACGGTTTTCTCCTGTTCGTATTGCCGACGAAAATTCGTGTGGTCGGTCTGCGTTGTTGGGATAGATGCGCTGTAGGTCGGAACAGGCACGCACCCTCACTATCTTGCCCACATTAGCTCGTACTAGCGAACGTAATCCGTGTCCACGAACATCTTTTTCGGACGCACATCGCGCCAAACAGAAAAACAATCCACGCATTACCACCACCACCTCCTCTTACCTCTCCTCTTCTGCACGTTCCCTTTCCGTCAATACTCGGAACGAGACCGAAATGAAACTCAGTCGCTACAGCAACGCCTCCCTACGTACACCACTCGACGTGTGTGCACGCAATGAACCTCGCGACGAATCAAACGCTGAGCAGTCGGACGAGGTCTCCTTGTCGGGCACTAGCTTCACCGTGAGGTTCCCGGCATCCTCCGGCACCCTTCTCTACGACCCGACCCTGGAGCTGTCCCTCGTCGACCCCGACGGTGTCGAATTCTGGAGACATCCTTTGTTCACGTGGATGGCCTCATCGCTCGGAGCCTTGGTGAGATGGAGAAGGTTTTGGGAGTAATCCCTTCGACGTTCGTTGTTGCAGGAATCACCATCGAACAAGCAATAGGATGGCAAATGGAACACCAAGAACAAGACAAAGTTTTTCTCAAGGCCGTGCCGTGCATTCCCCTCCCCCAGCTCGCGCGCCCGCCGGCGCTCAGAATACTTGCCTCAGCTCCCCTGGTCTTGCGACCAACAACAACGATGTCGCTCTTGTCCAATGGCAGCAACTAAACGCAACCCAACCAGTAACGGGCAACTTACGCTACCCTCCACCGACCCGCCAACGTACTTTTTTTCCTTTTCCCGGCTCTCCTCGGCGTCTCTGTCTCACCTGGGGTATCGGTATCTGTGACTGTGAAAGATCGTCGTCTGCCTGCTAGGCTGCGCCTTCCGCCGCCATCGGCGAGCGGAAAAGGACAAGGTGTCCCCTGGGTTCGAGGCCGTTGCCCCCGCCATGGATCCCGGGGACGGTGACGGCACTCGGCCAGGCGGACGGCGACTAGGCGGCCGGGTCCTGGCGAGGATGCCCCCCATTATGCGGATCAAGAACAACCGCACCGGCGTAGGGCAGGTGAGAGACGACTCTCGCACCACGGACGGGTCCACTCGGAAGATTTCGTGCCGGATTCGAGGCCCACGAGCCACCTAGCTCCTACAGTAGCCTTCCGCCACAACATTGCAAGTCCCCGGCGCACTATCTAAGCCAACCTGCACGCTGAACGGTGGGTAGGTTCCATTGAAGTAAGCTACTGGTCGACTTCCCTCCGCTTAGCCTGCCAGGATGCCGGCTTGCTTGCCTGCTGTTCGTGCGTGCACGAGGCCACCATGCACCGATTTTCGACCCCCAAACCTCCAAAACGCACCACTCGTCTTACCTCTGGGTTCCAATAGTTGCAAGCGCTCTTCAAACGACCGACCAGCCCAAAACAAATTAAACAAATCGTAGCAGGAAACCGCGACGCCAGGTGGACAGAGGTACACCCGGCGGGTCCGCTGGCGGAGAAAAGGCTCTTCTTCCGTAGCAAACCACGCCACCGCAGGTACGGCAGACGACAGAGGCAGCGGCAGCGCGGCAACAGCGGCGCCACCCTCTGGCGGCGGGGCGGCGGCCGGTACTCCGGACTGGATCCAGGATCTAGGCGGTGAGCTTGGGGTGGGAGTGAGGAGGATAGAGAGGGGGTGGGTAGACAGAGGGGGTGGGGAGGGGAGGGTCACGCAACGAGAGCTTGGACAACTTCGAAGGCGCTCGTTTGTCGTGGTTATATGACTCTTTGTTGGGGTCGAAGACACCGACGACCGAATGCCCGGGCCTTTTCGGCCCAAACCGATGCGTACGCTATGCGCTCTGGTTGGTTAGCACCGCCCCCTCTAGACTGATAAGATCCTGCTGTCGCTTGTTCATCTTCTGAAGGAGACGATGGTGGCGGTGGTGGTGGCACCAAGGCCAGCGCGGGGGTACCGGACTGGCTCGCCGACGTCGCTGGTTCGGCAGGGGCTAACACAGCCGGAGACGCTAACGCAGCCGCCGGTGGCTACGACGACGGCTACTACGGCCAAGGGTACGAGGGGTACGAAGGATACGAGGGGTACGAGGGGTACGAGGGGTACGCGGAGTACTATGGCAATGGATATGGGTACGATTATTCCGCAGCAGGCTACGGTGGTGCGGATGAGCGCCAGGGCGTTAGCAATGGCACACCAGCCGCGACCCCTCCTCCTGCTGCCGCCGCCGCTGATGGTGCCGGCGGCGGCGGAGGTTTGAGTTGGCTAACGAATGCTGCAAGCACGGTGAATGGAGTAAACAACCAGGAAGCGGAAGACGAAGCTTCATGAAGTCGGGCGTAAGGAGCAGCCTTTTCGGGTAGAACGATTTTTGACACATCGAATGCACAGCTGGTGTTGCGCTTGTTGAAGATGTTGCGGCTTTTCGACGCCGCAGCTGGTGTCACAGAATGATGGCAGAGGGCAACGTGTTCCCGCGACGGGGGAAGGCGCGGGCTAGAAAGAAGAGGCAAACGGCGCACACCACCGGGGTACCCAATGCTAGCGACACTAGCCTCGTACAGGAGATCTATGTCAGAATTAGTGGTAGGAACACACCGTGAGGCAGCCATGAGAGAGCGCCCAGGGCCAAGACTGTGGGGAGTAATGACCCCTGCCTTCTTGTTCCTGTCGAAAAGAAAAACATTGGAGTGCCTGGAACATCCCCGTACCAATGGACAAACGCAAGCGAGGGTAGCTAGTGGTATTCAGCGAAAGCAGGCGAGAGCGTGCGGGACCGAATGAATTCGATCTTCAAATGTCAAGCGAGAGTTGTAAGGAGAGCTAGCAGTAGACGCATCAAGACCTTCGGTCCCGGACGTCTTGCCTAATTCTCGACCATCACTCTCGGTCGGGGCGACTGCGTGAGACAGCTAGCCGCGGGATACACACTCTAGTCTTCACGTACCGCGATCGTCCCCACCTAGTTGTGCGGGGTGTCTTGTTCCTGAGCAGAGAGTGTGCGTGCATGTGCCCTGGATGATGGTAGTTAAGTTTGAGGCGGGGGGCGACAAGCATCAACGGAGGATACTCCCACCAGAAACCAAAGAGTTCTGTGATGGCTAAGACAGGCACATCGAGTCAGGGAAGGTGGACTGCTTAGTTGTATGCACAGCAATTGTTGGGTATTTGATTACGATCGGTCGCGGACAACCCGCTGTCTCCGCATGGTAATAGCGGATGGTGTAGGGTGTGGGGAGGGAAGACGGGGGGGCGTCGAGAGTGGGCGATCGGGCAATCGATGCGTATGAGTTCCTGTAGGCACGGTACCGGCAGGTGAATGTGATGGTTGGACTTCAGCAGCAGCACCTTTGATTCCAAAGCAATGCCTTCGACCTACGTGATCGAAGTCGGGGGGGATTCCTAGTCTACGAATTTGGGAATCGGAAGTAGGAGGTGTCCTCCACCCGTGTAACATCAAGGTTTCTAGCTTATACTCCATCCCCTGAGGGGGGCAGGGCAATGTAATCCATTCTGTGCCGGCCCCAAATCGTGAGCTTTTGGTGCTATGTCCGGCTTTCTGGGGAGGGCACCTATTGCTGCAGGGCATTGGCACTGCGATTGTGCAACGATTGATAGGGCCCTCATCAGCAATCAATAGAGAGCAGTTTACACCACGGTGAAAAATTGGCCAAGAACTTCCGATGAAGCCATAATTTCCTCCGTTTCAGTGCATGCACCAGCTCTACATTCGGGCACACACCCCAAATCCGGGGGGCATCTACCTTTGGAGATATTGGCATCAAGATACAAGGGTCGCCTTATCCGGCCGAGTGTCACGCGCAGGCGGTCGGGCGACAACCGTTTTGGGAATCGAACCTGTCTCATCGAGCGGGACTGAATTTCTTTGCAATGCATGCATGTATGTGCGAGCAATAACAACAGGCAAGCTCGTGCTGCCACAGCGAAGCCTCGAGACAGAGGCAAGAGTATGTCCAGATTCTAACCCTCTCGAGTGTTCAGTAGCCCACATCGCCCCGGTGGTCTAGTGGGTAACCTCGCAGCCTGCTAAGGGCCAGGTAATGGGTTCGAGTTCCGGCAGGGTGAGTGTTTTTTCTCACTAAATAAATCCTGGTCTATGATGTTCGTTGTTAGTAAACCATAATCGACTTCGTGAGTCGCGAGGGAAGGGATTGCTGTACCCTTCTCGCGATAAAAATACCTCACGCAGGAACCGCAGGAGGGGATCCAGCCCCCCCCTCCTATGTAACCCCGGTTGGGTC